CGAATAAATAGCTTACCAACCTTACCAAACTCCTTAACAATACTCCAATGTAGTAACACTAAAATTGATAGCTTACCAACTTTACCTAACTCCTTGACAATACTCTATTGCGATGAAACTCAAATAAATAGCCTACCAACTTTACCCGACTCCTTAACAATACTTGATTGTAATAATACTCAAATAAATAGCTTACCAAATTTACCCGACTCCTTAACAAATCTAATATGTTATAACACTAAAATAATTAGCTTGCCAAATTTACCTGATTCCTTAACGGATATCAATCCTCAATCTTTAAAAACTCGATATATCAATAATAATCGATGTACTAACACATAATTTTAACCTTCTATATAACCCTTCTTTTATGTTCATGATTTCTTGTAGAGTGTCTGCATGATAAACTTTGTTAGATTTAAAACTTGAAGTTAATTTTATTTATTTTTTTCTGTTTAATAAGTGAAATATTTAAGAAACATTATGGAAATTTCTCCACGATTACATTCAATGAATTTTATAATATTATTTTCCTTTAAGAATAAATGTTTTTATTAAGTAAATTAAAATCAAGTCAACATATAGTTTCTAATAGAAATTACGAGTTTAGATATTGTCAATATGTTTTACGAAAATAAATCAACTAACGAATTTAAGAATATTTATTCTCTCGCAATAAAATGGAGAACCTCTTTAAATCTGTATTTATTTATATTTTATTCAAGATATTTTTATATATTTTATACAATAAATATTATTTATTATACATATAACAACTTCATAATTTTTTAAATTGCTTTTATGTTCATATATATTAAAACCAATTTATTTCAGAGGAACTTGTAAAAGAAACTCTTTGTAACATCATCATAATCTTTATTTCTTTTTTAATTGCTTATATTTGACTATTACAAAATATTAATCTAGCCGATTACGATTTATTATTAAAATCGAAACTTTAATATAGTTGTAAATTATATTGTTAATACTTCAAATATATAGATATAATAAATAATCTTCAAAATATGTGATTTCACTAAAATCATATTCCTGAATTTTAAGAGTCACTATATTGTTTAAACAATAAGACGCATTAAGATATTATTGTATTAGTTATAAATTTTATAATTACTAATAAGATTTAACAATGTGAAGTTCTCATATATTTAGTTAAATGAATACTTACTTACTAAAATTCAAGTAAAATGAAATGAATTGTATATTATTAAATCTTTGGTAACTTGTATTAGTAAAAACAAAATGAATCACTTGTACTAATACTAACCTTTATTTCTACTGTAATGATATTTGAAAGATTTAGATTAGACATGAAGTATCAAATTATAACTTATATAGGAATGTCATTATGTATTAAAAATTATTTTGAAAGGATTAAAATATTTATAACTTAATTTTGAAAATGTAAAAATGAAAATAGTTTTGACAAATTCGATTACCTTATATAGTTTTTTTGATATAAATTTAAACATCAAATAACTTTTTCAAGATTAAAATTTTTAAAAATAACTTTATTATAATACCATTCAGATTTTTAGAACAGCAATTTTATTCACTAGGCATTTTTATTGAAACACTTTTATCCTCTAATCAGTATCATAAAATAATGAATCTTAATCCTTTTAGTAACTATATAACAAATAGTATTTACCCTTTCTACTCTGTATTTACTTAATACATTTCCTTTTTTTGTCATCTTTACTAGCACATTTAAAAATTAAAATCAATTTTTACTAGGTATATATTTTTAACAAGCATGAAGGTATTGGTATATATTATATATTGTTAGCTTCTTTATCTTTCCTTTTTGCAATTAAAATAATTTTTAATTAATTACTTAATCCATATTTTTTTTTGTCTGGAATATATTTATATCTTCTATTTTAAATATATATATATATGTATAAAAGAATTTATTATCTTTCTTTATATATTTTGATATATAGAAATTATAAACAACCTAAAAATCTTTAACTGGTTTTAACCTTTATTAATATATCTTGAGATGAACCATTTTATTTATTTTTTATTAAATTTAATCCCATTATATTCATTTTCACATGCTTTTTTAATTAAATGAACTATCATATTTGATATGTAATAGTTCAAGATTCATTTACCTAAATAAAACTTACTATTACTACGTAGTATTCAGAAAAAGGATTAAAGTTTGAACTATAATAGGTTATCAAAATTTTTTAAACACTATTTTTGAAATATGATTGATATGTATAAAAGGTAATATTTACATATATTTATGTTTGTTTATTTATTTATTTTGCTTTAAATAACATTTTAACTCAAATTTCCCTTTTCACTTTTTTGCAACTTATGACTACAATTGCAATAATGGGGAAAAATAACAAATTAACTGCAAAGCAACATGGTGCTAAAATTTATTGTATAAAAATGGTGATTCATATAGTAAAATTGCAGAAACTGTTAGATATAGCAAAATAACAGTATATAATACATTGAAAAATCATGCTAAAACTGCTTATCTTAGATGATCACATCTAATTGATATTACATAATATAATTATCTTAAATGTTTGGTAACAAATGAAAAAGCATAAAATTGACAATTATGTATTTTTAGAATATGGGAACTTTGAAAGAAAAAAACAAACTAAGATATTTTAAGAATAAACATTTATCATACTCTTCACATACTTAGACTAAGAAGTTGTGTTGCATGATTAGCCTCTTATTTCATTAGCAAATAAAGAAGTATGACTTGTATATTATAGTACTTAGAACATGAAAGATGAACAAAAATGATTGGGCAAAAGTTTTATAGAGTGATGAATCAACTTTTACCCAATTTTAGCAAAGTTGAACTAACAGGATATAGAGAGAACTAAAAGACGAATGGACATTTGTGTTTCAGTTACAGTCAAGCATAGCACAAGCCATATATTTTAGAGTTATTTTTCATGACAAGGGATGGGACAGATTGTATTAATTCCTAAAAATACACATGTTGAAATACTGTATAAGCATGTTTTACCTACAATGAAATGTATATTTCTAAGTAATAATGGTTTATTTCAAGAAAATAATGCCAGATCTCACAAATCGAAGGTTGCATTATCATTTTATACAGAAAAATCTTATGTATTCTTTTTTGATCCACCCAAAGCCCAGACCTTAGCCCAATTGAAAATTTATAGATAGAGGTAAAAAAATATTATAAATAAAAAGAAAAACCAACTAGCCTTATTGATCTTGAAAGGGATGTTAAAAATGCATGGAAATCGATTTCAAATGTGTAATTAAAAATTTAGTTAATAGTATATCTGCACAAATTCAGGCGGTAATTGTGGTAGTAGGTGTTCCAATTAAATACTAGTTTAATAATACAAAATGTAGCCTTGAATACCTATAAAATAAAGTTATTGTATAGATTTTTTATTAAGTTTTAAAAATTAAATGTATTATATTGCAAAAAAAATCGTTCATAAACTTTTGATAACTCTCTGTATATCTGAACAAGTGTAAGCATTACATTTTTTAAGAAGTAGTTGTATATTTATATTCACTAAATTCTAATAATCTTGTAAAATGTTTTAATAAAACAATGATTTGTTCAAAGTTACTTCTTCTAATATTACATAATAATTCTGTCAATAAATGAACAACTATCAAAGAAAATTTTCCTGATCTAGTTAAGAGTAGTAAGTATATTTTTTAAAACAATTTACTGACAATACTTTATCACAATCATTCCTATGTGAAGACATGGAAAAAGGTAATAGCAAATGAATTGATCTTTCAACTCGAGGGAAATACAATATTTATATTAGTTAAAATACTAATAATAAAATATATCTAATATAATATAAATGATAAATAATTATAATAATAAATATAAAAAACATTATAACTTTACTAAATAATCTATTACTACTTTGTCATTATCGGTCAACTTCGTCAACTTCGTTAACTTTGTTAATTAAGATTCAGACGCCGCAGTCATAGGTCTTGGCTTCATTGTCACAGTTTTTTTTTTATTAATCCTATTATAATCGATGAAAAACATGAAAAAACAAAAACAACAATATTGTTATTTCCGCCCAATATTGCGAATGTTGGATTTCCATTTGTCGATATCTTAGAAATTATGTTAAACTCGGAAGTTCTTGCCGTTCTTCTCGCTTACATTGTAAAATTATCGTCAGTGGGATTACTATAACACACATAGTATCTTTGTGGTATCTAGATAGTATCACTTCCAGTTTACGAACGACTTCAAACCCCTATATTTAATCACGATCATTTTTTAATTGCCATCTTAATTGTACAAAATTATATATTATTATTAATTATTTACCAAGTTGTCCTCTTCGGTCCTTGCATTGGATCACAAACAAGAACCTTGCAAGATTCCAATTATGTCAACATCACTTTCACCTTTTTGCGGGACTATAAAATACGTAAATAAAATAAAATGAGAATTTGCGTCATTATTGCCAAGAATCAAAGAAGAACGTTCACAGCAGTATGTACTGTGGCCACGAAGCTTGATCGCGTGACTCTACAAATATTTGTCACGCAATATCACACCTCTGTATTTAGGTATTCTGAGGACAGAATTTTTCGGTCCCAAGCTGTCCCATATTAAGTCCCAAAGTTCAGATCATGTCCCAACAATATCCCATGACAACTCTGCCCTCAATTGTTCTTCGAAAGAATTTGCAAGGTCATAAAAATAACTAAAAAAAATTAATGTAAAAAATAAACTTTTTTAATTAATATAAAAATCTTAAAATAAATGTATTTAAATCAATAAATTAATGAGATTTCTCATACTTGAAAATAACATATTTATTGAAATTTAAATATATGGGAGGTTTGCTATTAAAATCGAGTTTACGAACGTAGTAAATCATATGTTGCGTTAACGTGATTTTAATATCAATCCTTCCATATATGAAAATTTGGCGTTTTAAATAATTAGTAAAAACGCACCCAAGTGTGGTATGGTGAGTCGGTGGGTAAATGCAAGTTCGAAATGGACGAGTGAAACCAAGGAGAAAAGCAAGCGGGTTGGCTCCGGTAGAAAAGCCTTATTTTCAGAAGCAGAGAAAAAGCTTTGTTTTTCTAAAAGTGAAGAATAGGATTAAAACCCGTAAATCCAGTTCCTATTTTGGAAGATGTAGAACAAGCAGATGTAAAGTTTGATGATAAATAAGTTCTGCGTTCTTGCTGTTCGAAAGGAGCACTTGTTCAGAAAGCCGAAAATGACGATGTAGACTATGTCGTGAAGTTGAAATATTAACGTTTGTTGTGTATTTCTGGCGAAGGAGCTTCGCGTATTTAATAAAAAATATGTTAAATGTTGTTCATTAAGTCAATTTCATTAGAAGCAACTTTTGATAAAATTTATACACTGCCATATTCAGAGTAAGATGAAAGGATAACCGTGTGTGGATCCTTTAATTTAAACAAAAGATGAAGGGTTGTACAAATCATATTAAGCATGTGAAAATGTGTAGTTAACTACGCGACAATTCAGTAACCTTGAAATGACCTCAAATTACATAATTTCAAGTCAAAATAACCTCATTAAAAAAAAAAATAATAAATGAATTATTAAACAAAAACAATTCAGCAAAAGCAGATGAGAAAGTAAAAATTTAATATCGAACGTGAAGAATGTAATAATTAATAAACCTAAAGCTGGAACGGGTAGTTACTTTTTTTTATAATTTGGTCATTTTATTTCAATATTGAGAATTAATTTATTATTCAAATTGTCTTGGATAGGACTTTGAAATGATACAGCAAACGTTATCATTATCTCAGAATGGAATAAAATGTCTGGCTACTAAAGAAAGGATATCTATACTATGTAGCCAGGATATTTTTTTCATTCATTGATATTTAAGTAGAAAAATTATGAAGTCTAAGTAAACCTGGTCGAAACTGATCTGCAAAGACTTGAAATTATCCTGAATGACCTTTCGGGCGGAAAAATATTCAATGTAACATTAGGAAGGAAACAACGTGTCATTTGGTCATTTATCTTCATTTATTAAAAAAAATCATCATCATTCAATGCTTGAGAAACGAAATAACTGTCATTCAATACGTCGCATTTATTAAAATATGAAGTTATAAAATTTATATATACCTCGCACAGTACTAGTATCCATTTATTACAAAAGAATGCTATACTATTTTATATGATTATTTTTTGCGTTAATTGAATCAATCAAAGATATTTCCGAAGATTTTATAGTTTTTATAATTTCAATTTTAATAATGACGAATTTCCGCTAATATTATACTAACTTAAAAAGGCGACAATTCATATTTCAATAATTAATTATTTTAGACGAGTTTGGATGCATAAGTTATTTTATTTTTATTTTTTAACTTTTCACTTCACTTTTAATATGCATATTCTTATTTATTTTTATTTTTTTGGTTATAAGCGATGTGGTGGTCGCCTCAGTTTACTACATATATCATATAAAATATCACGTGATACATATAAATAATTACAATATCGATTGTAAATATCGTATAACCTCATCAGCCAATCATATAAAGCTTCCTATTCTGGGGACAGAATTTTTCGGTAGATAAAATCCATTTATCAATAGATTTTTGGTAATTTCTTCGGGTGCAAAGTAAAGTTTTTTTTATTAAATTATTATTGTTATTATTGGATTGCTTCGGGTACGGTGACTGATGATTTCTATTTTTTTTCAAATTTTGCAATATTTAGGTACTACGTTCGAGTTTATTCGCTTCCAAAAGTTATTGGACAGCGGGTATGGTTGCAGTGGAGATGGATATGCCTCAGGCCTCCCTAATTTATTATTATAATTTTTGCTTTGTATTTCTATTTTATTTTTTTTATTATTACTCTGGTTCAATCATTTTGGTCCGTAATCATCAAATTGTTTTTCCGTTAAAATTGTTCTAATGGCAGGATAATTGAGTTTAGAGTTAAGACAATTGTATTATAACAGTAAAAAAAAAATAAATACTTCAATGGTTTCGTAAAAGTTTGAATATATTTACTTGATATATAGAACGTTGTTAAAGTAATTCATTCTGTTCCTTTTTTATATTGCGTATAGCGCAGTATTTGCTGATGAAATTTAATGCAAGATTTCTGCTAATTATTTTTTACAATGAATAATGGCCTACCCGAAAGGAAGTTTTTTTTTTTTTTAATGTTGATCTACCGAATGCATTTTAAGGACCTTTTTTATAAAAAAAAAACCAAGTGCATTTTTTTATCCAAAAATTTTTATCATTTCGCTTGCTAAATATCCAATTAAAAAAAATCAAAATGGAAACTTCCAAGAATTCAAATGAGTGTATTGAAAAATATATTTCAAGTAATAATATAAAATACTTTGAATACAAACATTTTAGCAATCTTCAAAAGATTGGTTCAGGCAGCTTTGGAAAAGTCTATCGAGCAAATTGGAAAAGTTCAAAGCAATATTTTGCGTTAAAATCGTTTCGTAACTTTAACGACGCCACTGTTAAAGAAATAGTTCATGAGGTAATTACAAAATATATTTCAGTTTGTTATTAGTCCGGAGCGAAGTCGCGCTGTCCGCTCGCTCAAAATTTGAGTCGATACGTGGTTGATCCCTTTTATTACACTTGTGCTCCGGACTTAACAATGGTTTCTGAAACCATTCCCTAGTTATAATATCATTTATATTAAGCCAAAAGTTTTAATTTGTAATAATTTAGCTCGACCTTCAACGGGCAGTAGAATTTCATTATAATATCATTCGTTTTTGTGGGATTACAACATCAAACCAAGGTACAAAACTTTATTTAAATTAGGTTAATTAATATATATATATTGGTTTAACATTGTATTTTTAACTCATTTATATATTTTTAAAATAAAAAATTAGAAAATCAAAATGATCAATTGAAAAAATATTTGATTGTAATGGAATATGCCGATGGTGGTGTACTTAGACACTACTTAAAGATAATTCTGATAAGCTTGCTTGGGAAGACAAATATAACTTGGCATTCCAGTTGGCCAGTGCTGTGTCGTGTTTACATGATGAAGGAATTGTGCATCGTGATCTGGTAACATAATATATATCTCATTTTGCTTATTATGAATCTTAAAAATCTTATTGTCAAATATTAATATTTAAATCTATTTATACATTTAATAGCATTCCGGCAATATATTAATTCAACAAGGTGTAATTAAACTAGCAGACTTTGGTCTATCGAAAAGAATTGACGAGGCAACTAGCCAGTCAAAAGTTTTTGGTGTAATTCCTTATGTCGATCCAAAAAGATTTTCTAGTCGAAGAAATAATAACAATACTTCGCAAAAATATTTGCTAAATGAAAAAAGTGATGTTTACAGTGTTGGCGTGTTGTTATGGGAGATATCAAGCGGTCGACCTCCTTTTTATGTTGAAGGTAAACAATTCGACATCTATTTAGCTATAAAATTAAAAAAGGACTAAGAGAAAGTGTTGTTCCTGGTACGCTTGAAGATTATATAAACATTTATACAGGTAAATATAATATTATAAATTTAAAAATAATGCTTTCGATCATTAAATTGTTTGTTATTTTAGAGTGCTGGGACGACGAGCCAGACAATCGTCCGTCTATGAACAAAGTAGTTGAAAAATTAAATGCTATAATTACAAAAACGAAAAAAATGAAAAATGATCAAACTAATAATATAGAATCAAACCTTCAATCATCAGAACAACTTATTAATTCTAGTATGAATAATTCATTACATGGGGAATTATCTCGAATAATTAATTTGAATCAGATGAATGTAGAAGAAGTAGGGTCGAATAATGAAACGCCCGTTATCATTTACGATGATACTATTGAAAGTTTAAAGATTACGGATCTTAACAAGGATATATTGAACGCCTTTGGAGGATTGCAAAGATATCGAAAATTAAAAGTACTCGACTGTAATAATACTCAGATAACTAGCTTACCAACATTACCAAACTCCTTAACGGAACTCTATTGCGATGAAACTCAAATAAATAGCTTACCAACTTTACCAAACTTCTTAACGGAACTCATTTGTAGTAATACTCAAATAATTAGTTTACCATCTTTACCCGACTCCTTAACGGAAATCTATTGCTATGAAACTCAAATAACTTGCTTCCCAACCTTACCAAATTCCTTAACAATATTCAATTGTAGTAATACTCAGATAACAAGCTTACCAACGTCACCCAACTCCTTAACGAAACTCTATTGCAATAATACTCAAATAGATAGCTTATCAACTTTACCAAACTCTTTTATGCAAATAAATAGTTTACCAACTTTACCCAGCTCCTTAACGAAATTCGATTGTAGTAACACACAAATAGATAGCTTGCCTACGTTACCAAATTCTTTAACAATACTCAATTGTCATAATACACAAATAAATTGCTTATCAACTTTACCCATCTCCTTAACGAAATTTGATTGTAGTAATACTCAAATAAATGGCTTACCAATTTTACCAAACTCCTTAACGAAATTCAATTGTAGTAATACACAAATAAACAGCTTACCAACTTTACCCGACTCCTTAACATTACTCAGTTGTTTTAATACTAAAATAAATATTTTACCAAATTTATCAAGCTCCTTAAATAAATTTAAATGTAGTAATACTCTAATAGAAATCTTACCAACTTTACCCAATTCCTTAACAATACTCGATTGTAGTAATACTCAAATAATTAGCTTTCCTTCTTTACCCAATTCCTTAACAATATTCGATTTTAGTAATACTCAAATAATTAGTTTACCATCTTTACCAAACTCCTTAATGGAACTCTATTGCTATGAAACTCCAATAAATAGTTTACCAACATTACCTAACTCTTTAACAATACTCAATTGTCGTAATACTCAAATAAGCAGCTTACCAACTTTACCTAACTCCTTAACAATATTCGATTGTCGTAATACTCAGATAAATAACTTACTAACTTTACCCAGCTCCTTATCAATACTCGATTGTAGTAATACTCAAATTAATAGCTTACCAACTTTACCAAATTTCTTAACGAAACTCTATTGCCATCAAACTCAAATAAACTACCTAGCAACATTACCAAATTCCTTAATAAAACTCGAATGTAATAATACTCAAATAAATAGTTTACCGAGTTTACCCGATTCCTTAATAAAACTCCTTTGTCATGAAAC